CTCTCTCCTTATCAATTGCCTTCCTTCTTATCTTTTCCCTCACCCCTTCTCTTTTTCTCCCCTCCTCCTTTCCCACATCTCTCTCTCTCTCCCTCTCTCTCTCCTCCCCCGTCTCTGCTTTCCCTCCGGCACATATGGTAATACCTTGTAAGTTTTAACACCAGCTCCCTTTTGGAGCCTGTTTAATAGGTTTTCATATAGATTCCTTGTTTTAGTGGTACTTACTACTAACCCTAGTGATGTTGATAATTGCGTTATCCGTACCCTATTGCTATGAGATTTTGTGTTGTTAGTGAATGGTAAAATATTCATGGATTGTCTTTACCAAGTGATTTTCCTTTTCCCTTGACTCTGTTGTATACCCCACATTTCCCCTTTTCCCTAAACAATTATAGGTATTAAAATTATAAGCCAGTATGCAATTCTTTGGTGTCTTGTCACCTTAATTTGCCCCAAGGGCAAAATATATATATAGAACCTCCGCAAACCCCACTCGTCCCACCCAGGGTGGTTCTGTGTGCTGGGTCGCGACAGCTACCATACATGTATCACCTTGAAAATTAATTTTCTTTATAAACAAGATCTATGTCTGTATGCTGCTACGTACAATGCTACAAAGGCAATCTCCACAGGCTTGCCAAGAAGTGCTGTTTTCAAGGAGCACCGTTAGCGGTGAGCATGGCATTAACAGAATTCCAGAGAAGAATCAGCTGACATAATACTTTCTGAACGCTCCTTGCACAAGCAATTCTGTTCTTGGTTAGTAATTAGGAATTTTGGGTCACTGCATGTCTTAGAGTGCCATCACACTGTTGTACAGCTCTTTTTTTCCTCTTTTTTTCACAGGTTGATACCTTACATGACGTAATTTCTCCTGCTGTAGCTACGTAAGAGTAGCTAAACGATTCCACTTCTCAGCTGGTAAAGAGCAAGAAAGACTCGCTGTAGTGTTAACAGAAACTGTTTATTCTTTTTCAATCATTAAAATTTCTCTTTGAAACTATGCTGGTTAGAAACTTATTTCAAATGCTCTAAATTTTCCCCTGGAAGTCCCCTTCATTAGACAAACAGTTTTAATACACAGACGGCCTTCCCTGGAACACAGATAAGGTAACAGAAAGGTCTCCAGTTTTTTTTCCTGAGGTTTTTTTCTCCTTGCTTTTTTCCTCCAATGTCTTTTCTCCCTTGGGTTACTCAAAAAGCAAAAATGCCAAAATGTAGAGGCTGCTCCGTAACACAGCCCAAGTCCTCACCACACAGCAAATGAACGGACTTTTAATCAGATCCGCCTTGGCTGTCATCCCATAACCCACCACGGAGGATGAAAGATGAGCTTTGAGTGGCATCAGGTGCTCCCGCGAACTGCCGATCATCCCACAACCAGCAAGAGCAGAGACCAACATTTTCAGCCCCTGACAAATCAGGAGAATGTAAAATTGTGGTTTAAATTCACTCTGTTCCGCACCGACACTTTTCTGAAAGCTCCTCCCACGAGATAACAGCGCGGTCCTGCAGCAAGGATTGAGGTTTGCTGCTCTGGAAGCCAGATCTGTGGTTTTTTGAGATCTCATCACCTCCCCTAGCCCACCCCCAGCAGCCAGAGCGCCAAAAGCTGTCAGGAGAGTTCCTGGTTGGAAGCAGGTAGTGTTCGGCTGTCTTAGAGGATTTTCAGAGACTGACTGCTCACAGAAAATAACGAGCACCTCTACAGATGAGTAACTAAGGCCAAGATCTGGGCTATAGCCCTGTGGCCTGACCAGTGCAGCAGGATCCCCCGTCACAGTGACACAAGAGCTCGGCAGCAAAGTGCTCCGCCTGACAGCTGACAGAGGCAATAGCTGCCGGCTCTCGAAAGCGCTACGTAATGAGACATGTATTTTATAGATGCAGAACATCCATCCTCTCTCGTTAGCCGGACAATAAACATCCAACATTTAAACCCATCACTGAAGTTAAGCTCATTTGTGATGCATTAACATTCATTTCCTTCTGTGTTCCGCACATTTTACACCGAACATGCGAGCTAACCCTTGCATAAAATTAATCTTCGTGCATTTCAAAGACAGACACCCATTAAGGTGAATCATGTGTTAATCATTATTACAAATCTCAACAGAATACACCATAGATTTTCCATCGGTGGGCACAATTATTTACTTACGGATGCTACTGGTAAAAAAGGAGCTTTCTGTCAAGGCTGTAACACGTTGTAATTCACCCTGCTCACAGTGTAAACTAATTAACTGTAACATTATCGTGCTGGAAAACACTTGTGGTGCTAGGAAGTCCTAAAGATCTCCTAAGTTCCTCATGTATTTTGTTCTTAAACATGAAATTTCCAACCTCGTAAATGCCAAATTTCCTCCTTGAGGCATTTTATTGCAGGAATTTTTACAGAAGTTTACAGCAACGGCTGCTAACAACATCCAAAACAGTAAACCAAGCCGCTAACCTCTGGTCCCAGGGCACGTAACACGGCGCCACGCTGCTCGAGTGAACCCACTTCTGTCTTTCAGATATTACCAAAAGGAGAAGGGTGACCAGGACGCCAATCTGTAGCTGTGCTGCGTCGAAAGCCATCTCCCCCTCTTTTCTGTGCTTTTTTTGGACAAGGGGCACATCCACTGGCCTCACCGCAGGGACACACAAGCTGTGCATCCAGGTGTCTGCAAGGAAAATACCTACAGACACGAGCTATCAAATAACGACATTCCTCCGTACGGTTTGTTACAGCCAGTTCGGTGTGCTCACGTGCTCCACATGCTGCAGGATCGCACCCCGTCACTCACAAAGAGGTGTGCAACCGCAGACGTCGCTGGAAAAAGTCATCTCTCTTCTAGTTTGGGATCATTTAACAGAAAAAACCAGCATTGCTTAAACTGCAATAGCAGGCACGACTGGGCAACAGGCTGCCGTAGCACAGCGGCATGGAAAATGCACAGAGACAAAACTCATTGTCTGCAAATTATGTAGTAAACACCCTTTCCTTTTCGCAGAACATACACATTAGCAGTATTGATCTAAGCCCACACCCTACAAACATGTCATACTAAATGTTAGTTATATAGTCTTAAGACGTCTTTTAATACCTGACCAAAATCCCAGCATAAATCCCAAATCAGTTAAAACATTACCGGAAACAAGCAATTAACTTGTTTTTAGCAAACATGAAGTCATCCTCAGAATGAGCCATTACCCAGTGGAGCGGATGGGCCGCTTGTATAAATGAGAGGATTTCAGGAAAACTCCCCACCTCAGCCTCGCAGATCCCTTCTGTCCCAGTGACACCCACCATCGAAGCTCCGCGTCTGCAGCATGAGGGGTCCGGTGCTGGCGCTGGCCTTGCTCTTCCTCCTGATCGCGGCACACGGAGGAAAAGGTGAAGGAAACACCGTGAAGCTCTGCGGGAGAGACTTTGTCAGAGCCGTCGTCTTCACCTGCGGAGGCTCTCGGTGGAGAAGGCAGCTGATTGATTATCGCTCCCTCTTTGGTAAGTGTTAATTAATTGCAAGGTGTGCCTAACTCCGGGGGGATTCAGAAAATCCAAATCACCTGCAGGCTGGGCCTCAGGGCAGCACTGTGCCCCCATTTCTGTCTTGAGCAGGACACACCACTTTCCCCACTAGAAACTTTATTACAAGTTAAGAATATTATAATTAAAGTATGTTGAATATATACTCTGCAATTTACGTATCTTCACATGGTATTGTGTATATTTATATTTATTAGCACATTTTATATGGAATCAGAAAATTCAGCCATTACATGCACTGCTAGAAATTTGTACTCTGATAGGAGAAAAGAAAATAAATGAGGCAGATGATGGAAAGAGAGGTTTCTATAAACTTTCCATGCAGCAACACCTGCCTTTTTTGAAAATTCTGTTGTAGCAGCAGCTTTAAACAAACATAAAAAGCGATGCCACCTGCAATGCCCTGCCTGAGAGTCTGTTAATGGAGAAGAAACCCCCACTGCTAAACTAAGCGAGATAACTACTATAGCTTTACAAACTCCACAAGGCAGTGCCCAGCGGTACTTAAAATGCACAAGAATCGCAAGCGTAATTTAAGTGGAACATCCAGGAACTTGGAAATTGTGGGGTATCTGATGCCTTAACATAATATCTGCAATTCAGGAAACCCACAGATAAAGATAAATATTATAAACTCCTCTTGATTCCATGACTTCTAATTTTTAGCTTCTAATTTTTATGCGACAGAGAGTGAAAATCCCCTGCCTTTCTCACAAGAGAACAGTGGCTATGCAGACACCTCGATGTACACAGACCAGATGCGGGAGACCAACAGCGAAGAAATTCGCAATGTCAGGCCTGAGACAGAGCGAGACTTGCAACACACCAGGGAAACGTCTACGCTGAAAAAGCGTGAAGCGGTCAAGCTGCTTACCACATCCTGCTGCAGCATTGGCTGCAGCGAGAAAGAGATCAGTTCGCTGTGCTAGAACACAGCAGATGCTGTCGAGGTTCAGTGTCACAGCTTTCATGTATTATTAAAATAAGCATGATATAAAACACAATTATTTCAATTGCATTATTTAATCTTATCTTTATTCTCTGGAGTACACTAGGGAGTAAAGGCTGAATGTTAAATGTTGTAGTGCAAACCAGCAATCAGCTTCAATGATAGTTCTTGTTGGGCTGTCTGGATTCCACAGAGTGTTTAAACTTTTAGTCATGAGTACAAATATTTCAAATATTTCTTCCCATCTAACTACAGTTCTAGCTTCAGCTTTGCACATAAAATGTGACAAAATCAGCAATTTATTATATGCATGTTCTCTTCCGTAAGAAAATCCAACAGCAGGTTTCAGCTGTGAAATGTGGATAGCAAAAAGTCTGTCTCGAGCACCAGAATAAAACCAGCGCAGCACAGACAGCTCTGTGCAGCGCGTCACACCGCAGGGCTGTGCATCAGACCCCCGCCACCGCAGGGGAACGGCTGCAGCAGACGAGACCTGCCATCAGTCAGCACCAGCCCCTCAACTGTAGCCACGGTTTATTTCCTATCCCAGCTGCTTCCAGCAACATCTACCCGAGGTCCTACTCAGCGGGCAGTTAATTTGCACCCAGGGAGACTGGGAATACACCTCTGCGCCCAGAGGGCTGTACTGCTCCTCTCACCTACAGGCAGGCGCCAGCAGAAGAACCCCAATGCCATTTTTTTTCTGCTAGATTCAAGCACCTTCAATAGAAGGGCCCAGATATGTCAGATACTCCAAACATGATACAATTTGAAGTAATTTTTCACTTATTTCAAGCACTATGGGACAGAGCTAGTCTTCTCCAAGCAGAACTAACTGCTTTTTCCAGGCCACCTTCTCTGCACTTGGGTCTTTTCTCGGTGCTCAGGGGCAGCCAGGCCAGCCCCCCAGCAAGCAAAGCTCCTGACTCTCACTCTCCCCTCCCACCACAGAGCCCCCTGGGGCATCTCTGGACCCAGCAGGAAGGTTTGGAGGGATCCCTCCATCCCCGACGCGGGACAGAGCAACTTGCAGCACTGAGCGAGTGCAGCTCGACGGGACACAGCATCTGCAATACAGTGTGTGCACGGAGCTGGGGCCATGGGGACTAGCACGCGCTTAACTGCCCACAAATAGCATTTAACAGGGGTAGTTTTAAAATGTGTTTGTTTTAGTTTCCAAAAATCCCTCTGTAGTTTCTACTTGGGAACCATGGAGGGAGGGAGAAAAAAAGTATTACAGGGATATCTGGTTCTGAAAGCAGCTAGAACGAGGTGTAAAATGGTATTTCACAGAGAATCACTTGCCAGAGAAAGCTCTGGGAAATACAATTATTACATTCACTGCTGAAGGTAACCACATTTCAAAACAGGTGAAAGCCACCTTGGTCCTTCACAACCGTTTTCAACAACAGAAACAGGAAGAGTTAGGCTGAATGTTAATTTCTCCCGCTGCTAAACTCAACTACCTCCTTATTCAAAATAGACAGCATAGACATTTGCAAGAGCAAACAGTGAAGTGTTCTTGAACACATACGACGAAAACGTATCGCACACAGGATCCCACAGGCACCGGCTTCCGATCTGCATGCTCTGCTCATTCAGCTGCCCAATATGTGTCTCCACAACAATCTTGTACCTTGGTATCATAAGGTCTTTCACCCGAGCTTTAATCACCTGCAAGAGAAAAACATAATTAGACACAAGCGATGAGCTCTCTTTGCAGGGGACACTCGGTGATTTGCTTTTCTGGGACAGACAAGTGCAAGCACTGCACTGTACAGCCCTTGCAACAATCCTAATGACAATCTTTGAACTGGGGCATTTTAAATGTGTACCGCAAACTCCCCCAGCCCCGTGGAGAGGGGTCATTGATGCTGCTGTGGTCGTTCCACAAGGGAACCAATGCTTCCACCTCCTAAAAGCAGGCACACCTTCCTGCTGGACTACAGAAACGCAAGTAAGGAGTTCCTGTTCGTGAATACCATACTCTCCTCCATATGTGTTCACAGAATCACAGAATGTCAGAGATTAGAAGGGACCTCGAAAGATCATCTAGTCCAATCCCCTGCCGGAGCAGGACACCCAGATCAGATCACACAGGAACGCATCCAGGCGGGCTTTGAATGTCTCCAGAGAAGGAGACTCCACACCCTCTCTGGGCAGCCTGTTCCAGTGCTCTGGCACCCTCACCGTGAAGAAGTTTTTTCTCATATTCCAGTGGAACCTCCTATGTTCCAGCTTGAACCCATTGCCCCTTGTCCTGTCACTGGATGTCACAGAGAAGAGCCTGGCTCCATCCTCCTGACACTCACCCTTTACATATTTATAAACATTGATTAGGGCACCCCTCAGTCTCCTCTTTTCCAGGCTAAAGAGACCCAGCTTACCTGCTGGCTACAGGGGAGAAAGGAAGAGCAGACAGTACTTTTTTTTAATGCTGGTGAGCTCTTCTGGGCCAAATCAGCTGAAAGCGCAAAGGATCAGGTCAGTTTCCTCAGCAGCAAAGCTGGATTTAACCAAGAAGGCGCTTGCACATGTATCATTGTGCAGAATTCAGCTGCTACTATAGCTGGCCTACTTCAGAAAGGTCTGACACATACTTAAAAACTTATTAATGGCATTTCTGGACAAGGGCAACCACAGCATGGAGGGTTTGCTTCCTCAGAGCCACTGCTGCTTGAATAAACCTCATGGTTAAATCATAAAAGCCTGCGACCATCTCAAACCAACCCTTGGTGTATCTTGATGGCTTCCTGGAAGTTTTACACTTTATAATTTATATCCAGGGACCTCCCTGGCCCTCGACAGCCACCTCACGTCAAGGCGTGAGGACAAAATGGCGGCATTACCTCAGCGATATCCTTCACCATCTCCCTGCAGCGGGCCGGCTCGTAGGGCTGCTCCCTCAGGTAATTTCCCAGCACATCCTTCAGGATATCATCCACAGCTGCCACCGGGAAGGGTTTGGAGGGACCTGAGGAACAAACGGTGAGGTGAAGCTCGGTTTTCTGAGGAAAAACCCACCGCGCTGAAGCGTCTCGGAAGTTTCCCTCGTCCCCTCACCACAGCGCCCGGCCCTGGGACCTACCCGAGGGGAGGTCGCGGCCATGCATCCCCTCACCGCTGCTGAGGGGAGGAGAAAAGGCGGTGCTGGCCGCCGCCTTCCCGCCCCTGCGAGTTCCCGCCCAGGCTGCGGCAGCCATCTTGTCGCCCCCCCGCTTCTATGTCACCACAGCACGCGTGTGTCCCCAGGGATCTTCTGTGTTCTGCAGCCCCCACAGGTCCCTCCCACAGCCTCTGTGGGTCTTGATGTGTCCTTTCTGTCCCCACAGGTCCACCTGTGCCCCTACAGCCCCCAGCTGCCACGAAAAACCCCAGGTGTCCCCATGGTCTCCACAGGTCCCCACAAGTCCCCCTGGCCTCCCTGTGTCCCCACAGTCCCCCCATGTCCCCACAGCTCCCTGATGTCCTTATGGCTCCCCACGGGTTCCGCTAACTCTTGCG